GCCGTGGCCGGCGCTGTGGCCCCCCCGCCTCACAGCTCTCTGCAGAACCAGAAGCTGCTGCTCGAGAACCGGCTCCTGCGGGAGAGGACGTGTAACCTGGCTCTGGAGAACCAGGAGCTTCGCTGCCGCCTGGGTTTAGATGTGGTGAAGACGGAGGAGGAGGAGGAGCAGGAGGAGGAGAAGCCCCAGGTGAGCTCTCCGCCACGTTGGCGGCGTGTCTTCCTCTTTCCGGGCAGAACCGGCCGGGCTCCCGGAGGTAACTGCGTGGCAGTGGGCGGGGAGGAGGAACCCTGGCGCCGGGAGCTTTCGGGCGGAAACTGCCCTGCTGCGAGCAGGGAGAGAGACTTCATGTGCCCGAAACATTCGTGCCTTCCCCATGGAGGCTCCACCACCGAGTCTGACCTGGTTGCCCTGGTCACGGAGGATAGCGAGCTGACTACTTCCAACCTGTTCTAAGACTTTCATCTGTTCTTCTACATTGTGATCTAGAGCAGAGTATTAACTGTTAAGAGTGTAATGTATAAAAGAACAGGAGGTATAGTGGGGGGGACACATTTAAGTAGCAAACAAAATAAATGGGCAGACGTATGGAAGTTTGAGCCAGCTCTGGAAGTGGTCTTACCTTCATGTTCCTGCAGCACAAGCAAGTGGAGAATCTAATGTTAGAAGCCTCTGCAGGAAGAGCATGATCCCCAGGATTACGTACTGTCTGACAGAACATTTGTGGTGACACAAATGTGTTTCTTCCCTTGGTGCAGGGTGTGAAGGAATCGCAGGTGGAAGAGATGAGATTGGTGACCGGGTCCGCTGAGTCCGCAGCACTCAGACTACGTGTTCCTCTGCAGCAGGTGCAGGCCCAGCAGTCACCATTTCTGATAACTTCCACATGGATTCTGATGGCAGTGACTCTTCAGATGCAGAGGTGAGCATCTGCTCCGATCCCCAATACTGGAAACTTAAAACCACTGTGGATTTTACACACTAGTTTGGTAACTTCTTGATTTAAAGTCACTTGATGACTTTCCATAGTTGCCTGGATTTCCAAGTCTTGGAAAGCTGTACCTTGTGGCTCAAAACAGCTGTGCTGAGCTGTATCCAGTGAGTACAGGAGTTCATGGAACTTGAACAAGTCCAGTTTCCATAAAATCTTGAGAGTATTACTTGAAACAAGTCTCTTAGCTCTTAACAACAAAAGTGTACAAATCTAAAAGCAGACTGTGCTTTTACTGTTGAAAAACACTTGATTGTTTTGCTGATGTGCTGGCACTTAGCAAAGCTCTTTGAACTTAAAGCCCTGTCTCTTATGGCTTCCTCAAAGGTAAGGGACAGGCATCTTTCACCTCTAAAAAACCCAAACAAACCCCAAAACAAAATCCCTGACTTTGGTCATGGGCAGGCCTGCTAAGTCGGGTGGAGTCTGCAGGCAGGGTGGGCTCTGTACCTGAGGGGTCCAAGATCTTGAGTTTTTAATAGAGACTGTGAATAGCAAATGTGTGTAGAGTTGTATGGGGATTGCCAGTACTATTACAAAAAAGTTACTTAACTTTTGGAAATTTCTTTGCCTGTTAATTGCTTTAACTGTTCTGATGTTCTTGGTAAAACTCCCAGTTCTGTGAGCATACTTTAACTCAGAGGTGAGGGTTAATAGATGTCACAACAGATGTCTTGCTCTAACAGCCATAGGCTGTCTTTCTAAAACAGTATTTTGTTCTGCAGTCTGATCTACTGTTGGGCTTTCTGGACAGTCTGGACCCAGACATGTTTCTCAAATACGCTGATTCAGCATCAGTGTGCCTGGAAAAGCTGGAGGAAGAGATGTGTGGAGAAACAAGTTCCATACCAACCTCCCCCTCTCCCTCTTTGGGGTCCCCATCAGCAAAGCTGGAGGCCATTAATGAACTGATAAGGTTTGATCATGTGTACACGAAGCCCCTAATACTGGAGATTCCTGTTAAAGTGGGCAACCAAACCAATATGCTAGTGAAAGTTGAGGAATTCTCTCTCCCTCCATCTGAAGACAAAGCTACCCCTGAGGTCCCAGTATCTGTGAAAGAGGAACGTGTAGACAGCTTCATGCCCAAGCTGGGCATCTCTGACCTGCTTCCCTCTCATTGTAGCCTTGCTGCCTCAAGCTATCTGTTGGATGCTTGTAGTGACTCTGGGTATGAAGGATCCCTGTCACCCTTCAGTGACCTGTCCTCTCCACTTGACACTGGCCATGCTTGGGAGGATAACTTTGCCAATGAACTCTTTCCCCAACTGATCAGTGTCTAACTCGGTAGTGTTAACCCCCTTGGGTGATGATCCTGGCAGGGTAACAGGATAAGTCCCTTTGGGGGGTGGGTGGAAATGAAGTGTACTCAGTGTTGCTCACTCCTGCCCCTGCTAGTAGACAGAGCTATGGCCAGTGCGTTTCTCCTGGTGTGAAAAAGCCTAGGGTGCGCTGTCCTGCCCCCCTCTGTCAGCACTGGCTGATGAGGATGGAAAGTCTTTCTCAGTAACTTGCCAGTTCTATGTCAACCTGAAAATGTTCATTTTGTTTTCTATTTAAGGTAATTTTAACACCAAGAACTGCAGTGGGATAGTCATGTATAGACAGCTGGGTTAAAACTAAGTAGTCTGTAGAACTACAGATTTATTATGTAAATGCTTGTTTTCCATTTGCTATGTAGAGTTTTTCTCCATTTAATATTTAACTGTATCGGTGCAATTAAAGTGCAGTGCAGCTCACGAACCCTTTTTTGCCTTGGGTCTCAATGGGGAGGGGAGTCTGGGCCTTGCAGAACTTGAAACAGCTTTTCAGAGATGGGGTGTCTGTCTCATCTCTGTACCACCCAGCAGCCCCTCTTGTGTGTGAGCTGCTCCTTCAGCAGTGCCTTTCTGGAAGCACTTGGTGCTGCAAGCTCTGTTCAAGGTAGGTGGGTTTGTACGAGGGTGAGAGCTGCCAGAGCAAAATCTGCACCTGGATAGAGAATGTGGTTGGCGGTAGCTTGGTGTCTGAACGAAATTACTGCAGTATCTTCCTGTTGGCAGCATGTTTGTGAAGCAGTGTGAGACACACATGAGATGAAAAAGGGGCAGATTCTGTGTTACCACAGGAATCCCTGAAATAAAATTTGTAGGAGCTAATTTCACAGTAGGATTCTGTTATCCTCATCCATTTGTTTCCACATCACACTATTAAAGACACTTGAACTGGGGTGATGGAGATGAAACTGAAATTTTACACTGAAAGTGAGAGCTGTTCCAGGTGTTGGACAGACTGTTCTTGGTTTCAGTGCTATTTCAGGTCTTGCATTCAGTTTTGACAAAAATAACTTGAGGCAGGGGAAGGAAGGAAATGGGGCATGGGACAGGAAAGTATTGGTCACTGCCACTCAAGGGGACAGGACTGCTGGATTACAAGCAGCTTGGTTATTCAGGCTTGTAATAAAGCATTTCTGTCTGAATATTGGATAGCAGTAACAACTACAGCTGTGCAATATAGTAGATTAAAAAAAATTAAGCTTTTAAGTCGTCTGAGAATTAAGTTGCTTTATTTTGAAGCTGGAAAACGGATGACTGCAAGAGGATCCTTTAGTACCTAATTACATTGTCCTGCGTCCAAAAAGCAAATGAACAATTGAGAATTTGATCCACAGTTCTGCATTACTTCTCAGTGTTACTGAAACTGCATATTAAATAAAAAAAATGAATATAAGTACAAGAGAAGTAATGTAAGGAGGAAGCTTCATTTTTTCATGACTCAGCTCTGCATTTTCTAGCCTAGAAGTCAAAGACAGTTTACAGGCATATTGTGGTAGTTGGAAGTAGCACCTGTAAGAGGAGTGATATGTCATGTACTCTCCTCAGGGCTGGGGGAGGCTCAGCCTAGCACACCAAAGGTGGTGGGACTACTCCTCCTGTTCAAACAGCAGCACCTGCCCTCTACAAGGTGGCCCAACAGACTGAGCAGGAATTGATGGTGCTGCAGGATTTTGAGTGAGTCGCTGCAGACCTAACCTGTGCCTCTAAGAGGCTTTTCCTATTTTTGCCTCCTCAGGAGCTGATCCCAATTGTAGAGGAAGTGGAATTTTTGGTGATGTTATCTCCCTTAAGATATCTCAGGTTATCAAAGATGTTTCTCAGCCCAGTTTCATGGGTGGCTTCAGAAAAGGGGGAAGGGTCTCTTGATCAGGGGGTAGGGATAGGATGAGGGGTGATGGTTTTAAACTGACATAGGGGAGATTTAGATGAGATCTGAGGCAGAAATTCTCCCCTGTGAGGGGGGTGATGCCCTGGCACAGGCTGCCCAGAGAAGCTGTGGCTGCCCCTTCCCTGGAGGGGTTCAAGGCCAGGTTGGACGGGGCTTTGGGCAACCTGGGCTGGTGGAAGGTGGCCCTGGCCAGGGCAGGGGGTGGGACTGGATGGGCTTTAAGGTCCCTTCTAATCCAAACCATTCTGTGATAACCACCAGAAAATCCAACATTGCAAAGAACTGCTTCAGACAACATTCAGAATAAAAAATTCTACCTCCCCTGCATAGGAGTTTGTTGTTCTTAAGCCAAACCAACTACACTTTTCAGCTGCTAGGCAAGCTTCTGCTCCAGTAGTTGTCCTGAGCCAGTGCTACGAGATCCATGCTTGCAACTCTGAGATTTTAAACTGCTTTAAGGTAGGTAGTGGTGGTTTGAACCAGCATCCTGAGTAAAGAACAGTTGTATGGCTGCACATGTAGGCTTTCTGTACTCAGCTTATGGGCCTGCCCCAGAGCAGCCACGTGCTGTGAAGCAGAGCATCTGCCACGGTGGGGAGGAAGCAGTGGTGGGTACATTCCCCTTCCTCTGCTGCAGCAGCTGCCAACTGTCCCTGAAGCAGCACTGCAGCCCTCATCAGCTGGGCACTACCTCAGAGAGAGCAAGGGAAGAGGGTGAGCAGCAGAACGCCACCGTGGCCGGCCTGTGAGGAGCTCTGCTGCCCCGGGCTCGTTCCAAACCTGAAAGCCCTCACTGTGGGGACTGCAGCACCCACCCTGCTGCCTCTGTCCCTTTCCTGCTCCTGCAGAGGCTGCTCTGGAAGCTGTCCTGCTGCTCCTCACCTTCCTCCCCAGTGTGGCACCTCTGCTACCCTGGCACCTCATAGCGGGGCTGTGGCCACACCCAGCCCTGTCGGTCTTGGGGGCTCAGGCTGGTGCTGTTCAGCTGCTGCAGCACCACCTGTGAACGTGCTTCAGACGAGCTCCGAAGGTGATGCCAAAGGAAGCAAACTATATAATCCTCAACGCTGCCTATGGAAAATCGGTGCCACACCCCCACTGCTGGGGGAGCACTGCCACCCCTCACCACGTGGGGCTGCAGGGCCGCTGGTGTGCGCGGCTCTGCCCGCTGCCATCGTGCATCCCTTTGCTTCCTCACAGCTGAACACGCTGTGCCTGGATGAGCAACCAATTCTTAACGTCTTAAAAGCTCAAGCACAATTCTGTTCCGGTCACATTTCCATCGTATTTGGAAATGGACTCTGTTCATTAGGCTCACACCCAAACCTTCTTAAGCACAGCAGACAAAAATGTTGAATGAAGTAGCATTTACACTGTTTTGCTTCCCTTTTTCAACTTTACAGCTACAGAGTTCCTGGCAATACTTTGTCCTGATTAACTGGCAGCATTATGTTCCAAGAAAAGCTGCTAAGAGTTACTGAGATCTCTTCCACAAAAAGCACACCACTAGTTCTCGTTTGGCATCTGGAAGCCTAGTAGTATCCATAATTTCTATTACCACTAGTATTTTTTACTAGAATCAAGTCCACTTAGGTGCTACCAAGGCAGGATGAGGGGTTTGGGTTGTTTAAAATATATATATTTATCTAGTACATCAACATCCAGAGATTAAAGTGTGAGAATTTAATCTGTCAAGAGAGGATCGTTACTGAGATTTTTCTGCAGATGAGAAAAGCCAAGTTAAACTAAACCCAGGCAAAGCTGGGGCAGCAGGGGGAGGAGTTCTGGAGGCACAGAGCGGCTGATCTCAGGCTGATCCCACCGCTGTCCTGAGCTCCCCGACTGCTCTGGCCTCTGCTCGGGAGTCCTGCTTGCCTCACCAGCACAGATCCAGACCCAGTGTTCATGGGTGTGTTGCATCTGCACTTGATTAACTAAATCATCTGCTTTGGCAGCCAGGCAGCTGCTCTAGCTCAGTGATACATGACACAGGCTCTGGAACAATGACAAGTCCAGGTCCGAGCCCGTGCCGAAATAAACTCTGTCCCTCTCCCCAGGGCTGCCTCTGTACCGAGATCCTCGTCCCATCTCCGCAGTCTCCCAGCCAGCCCTCAGAGCCTGACACAATCCTAAATGGGTTGGGCTTTGCACGGTTCTTTTCCTCTCTCTATTTAAATATTGCCGAAGTATTTAAATATTGCCTAAATCCACACTACAATTTAGGCGAGTCAGTGTTTGACTCAGTCTAAAAACCTCAGGGCGTTTTATTATTATTTGTGAATATACATCTGAAGCACAATTCTTCCCTCATTTTGAAAGCAGAGGTAATACTGGTCTAGCACACTCATCTTTATCCTTCAGCTGCTCAAAAAACTCTTGAACAGAAGATGGTAAACAAGAGCAATTCCAAACTCTTCTCAAACATTTCTTGATTTTACACAGAACTAAGCGAGCTAGGCATTCTTAATTTTAGTCTGAAGTAAAAGGAAAGATCTGAAAACACAAGCTACAGCAACACCTTCTGGTGCCCCTTTGCTCTGTTAGAGGCCTTTGGGTCATGACAGATTTACAGCAACGTTTCCTTTCTCCCAGATTCAGGTTTATTCTACCCTGCTGTTGTCCCTGCCCTATCCTGTTGAACACCCTGGAGGAAAGAAGTGACATGCCCTTGGGACGACATAGTTAAATTAAAAATCTTCCTAGGCCAGAAGAATATTCTACCACAGCTGAAGGGCTGAACATAAGATCTCAAGGTTTTCACTTTTATTAGGAATGAAACACAGCCATCTAAAAAATATTTTATAAAATTTATTGAAAACTGACATACAAAGGGTGATTTGGTCCCAAGAGAAGACAGACCAGAATCAGATCTTCCATATTTCAAAATAAAGTTTTTCCTAATACTGCATCACACGTGCCATCCCGCTGGTAAACAGCATTAATAGGGAGTCTTTCAAGGAAGCCAACAACAAACAAAACTGTTACAAATACAGAAGTTTGAAAACACCCAGTAGCTTGTTCTCTCTTACCCTCTCCAAATGATTGCTATAGCAAGAATCCTGCACAGCCCCCCTAGATACTAGATTCCTGCTCTACCCCACTCCTCCCTCATCAATTCAAGCAATTCAACCCTGTTCTCTCCCATCACAAGGGCAGAAATTAATTATGAAAAAATTATAGTAAATATTTTCTACCAAAGCAAATTTCTTGGACACAGTCTTTTCCCATCTCGTGGTCTTTGTCAACAGTCCACCACTATACTCTTGTTTCAGATGGCAGGATAACAGGGATCAGTAATGCCATATTAGCATCGAATGTAAGGGGAAAGTCAACCTTTGGTACAGACACAGCAGGAAAACCACGTGCTTAAAAGCCATCTACAAAAATTTCTTCCTCTGCAGATTTGATATGCAATTTGTCATTTTTAAGAGGAAAAAAATCTGCATCTATTTAGGCTTCCCACTTTTCTTCATGCTCTGCTGCAAATTTAGTGCTGCTGAGATGGTTTCAGCAAATTTTTTGTTATCCTTTTTTT